TTGACCGCAAAACAAAAACGGAGGTAAAAAAAAAAGCGGTAACCTGGTTGCCGAGTTCACGAAGTGAATTGGCTTGTTTTACAACGTCTTTGCCAAGCGACGAAAACCCAACCCCGATGGCAAACACCGGGGGGGGCGGCTTGTTTTACAACGTCGTTGCCAAGCGACGAAAACCCAACCCCGATGGCAAACACCGGGTGGGGGGCAAAATCAACGGGCAAGCACGGCGAAGGAAGGTACTGGCCGTTAACGGGAGGAGAAAAGAGGAACCCTCGGCTGTCTGTACCTGCCTGTTGAGGGCACCCGTCGCGTAGCGACGGCAGCACAAGCACCCCGCCAGCGAGGCCCCCCCCGGGGGGGGGGGAGGGGGGGGAAGGAGGATACTAGCAGTGCTAGTCTCGCTGTGTACAACGTGTAGTTCTCTTGGGATTTTTCTTCTGTCGTTTGTTTTTCTCTCTTTCATTTTTCCGCGTGGTAGAACGCAACGTTTTCGCCCCCCTTCAGCAAGCCTTCAATAACATCACGGAGACTGGGCGATGGGAAACAACCTTGTCCCCAATGACATGCTCATAGCACGCAACGACTTGAGTGCCGACGAGAGAAAAGTACAACAAATTGGCGTGTGCCCGTTTGGAATTTCACGGTGATGTTGGTGTGTCCACGGGCAAAAAATAACAAAATGTTCCGGTTAGCATGTCAACAGCAGCAGCGACTCAAGCAAGGCGACCAATAACTACTCCGGAGAGATGTCCCGGTCGCCCCGGTGGTCTAGCGGTATCCTCGTAATCCGCTAGTCGCAGAGGTCGTGAGTTCGAATCCCCATGGGGTGAAAAATTTACGAAATGTGCGGGTGAAAGCGAAATATAGCTGACAAGCTCTCGTGAGTACCAAACTGCGACGTTAGCACCGTAGACGAGGAAAAGGGAAGGCTGGACCCTTCTCGCGATAAAAATAAAAATTCAGCACGCACCGCACGAGGCAGGTGGGGTATGAAAAGAAATAAAAAAGAAGAAAAAAGCCCTGGTGTGTACCCCCTCCCCTCCTGTGTGACCCTGGATGGTTGTGGTTGTACGAATAATACACTGAAAAGCGTAGTACTCTACATACGCTGAAACGTGTAGTACACGTTTCACCACGGGAAATGGGGGGACTGTCGCCATAATAAATAGGACGAAAACACACACACACACCCCCACAAGAAACATTAGTCTACGCAGGGTTTAGCATACTGGATTTTAGTATAAAAAATCGTCTCGGTTGAGGTTTGAGTTATGGTTATGGTCTGCGTGCCCCTGCCTGCTCATTGTTCGTATGCATAAGACCGCGTCATCAAGTGCTTCTTGTACGGGCAGAAGAAGGTACCGGGTGGAGAGCAGGGAACGGTTCCTAATGTGAAGACAACAACAACAACAAAAAAGAACGTTACGTTCTCTGCGGAGGCAGTCCACAAAGACCCGTATGCTCTTGCGGTACAACTATTACTTGAATCATGACTCTCTTACCGGGCGACAGGGCCCCCTCCGCGATTGCGGACAAGTAGTTCACCGCCAGGACCGCCGACGCCGCTCGCGCCGTGAACTTGACTCCCCTCTTCGACGCGAAGGTCGAGATCTTGTACTCCTTGTCCCCCTTCACGTCCGGCAAATCCTGCAAAGAGGCGGGGGGGGGGGGGGGGGGCTACCGTGTATGACACAAGATAACAAACCCCCTGAACCAATTTTCAAAGCTCGATTACTCCACGACGAAGAGGATGCATAAACGAAACGATTCATTTTTGGAAGTCTCTCGACGAGACGGTTCCAACGCCGCCATTTCCGGCGCCGTGACTCTTTCTGTTGTGTAGAAATCGAGATTTGAAAATCGGTCCAGGGGGTGTGTTATCGTATGTCATATACGGTTCTCATGTATGTCGTAGGCGGTAGAACATAGACCATAGACCTCGCATCCCTACAATGCAAGGAGGGGGCGGTTTGCCGGGTTTTCGTCGGTCCAGGCTAGGTTTCACGAGGACGAACCGGAAGCTGGGGGGGGGGGGGGGGG